AGTACCCCCCAATTTTCGGTATTTTGGGGTTCTTGTGCGCACTTTTCAACCGAATTCGCTGAAATTTGCTACATTGGGTTCTTAATGGGGTGCCAAATATCTCTATTAAAAATTATAAATATCGGTCCACTTTTTCATTTCAAATACCTGTCAGTATACCTGTGGTGGAGCGTATCCAAAGTTCGGCCCGGCCGAACTTAATGCTTTTTCACTTGTTTCTTTGAAGTTTATATAAAAAATGAAAAAATACAAATATATTTCTATTATAATATAATGGAATCTGCAATAAAAATTTCAATATCCTTTTGATACAACAAAAAATATACTCCAATAATATTAATAATAAGCGTGCTTCATAATTATATCAAAACATCATCATTATCAGTGTCTCTGTTTTGAGAAATATCAATAAATAAAAAACTTTATAAGTCAGTGAACTTAAAGAAAAACTAGGCAAAAAATCACTCTCAATATATTTCTTGTTTTTTGCTGTTGTTTTTCGTTTCCATTGTAGGTGTTTACTTTTCCTTACAAAGTGTGCATAAAAGTAGACTTCTTATATTTTCAATATGATTTCCTTTGGAGTTGCTGCTGCCATCCTCAAAGTGATAGGAAAAATTTCAAAATATTGGCTGGCTGACAAAAGTCAAGGGGGCAAATGTGAATAAGTTAGGTATCAACATGAACCTCCGCGTCGCCGCCGTCATCATCATCATTGTAATCATGAAAATGCTATTTTATACACAAAGAGTCAATAACAAAGTATATTGAAAGGCTTGCAGTGCTCCTGTTACATGATAGTTACAAAATATATACCTACATTATTTCCCTGTGTTCTGCAAAAGACATCATAAGGTTATATTTTTGAATAAAAAAGCTAGTGAATGTTATTTGATAAAATGTGCACTCACAAATATGCTAATATTATGGATGCACTAAAGCTGGATTATAAAAATATATACTTTATACAGTTTGTATAATAGTAAAGGACACTGGAGTAAAATAAATTATTAAGAAAATTGAAGCAGGAGATATTTGGTATTAACCTCACAAGGTAATAAGAAACGTATGCGCTTATGACATATAATGAAGGTAGCAAAGTTGGATATCATACACCATTACAAATATGGAACCTTAAAGTTGGTAGTCCGGGTAGGAACTACAACATCAATTAATAATTCATATGAAATCTAAACCCTTCGTTAAAATTCCTTTCTAAATCACTGCTCCATTTTAGACAAAAGACAAAATTTTTTAATTGACATTACAACACAAACTCTCGGCAATTTTTAACTCTTTTAAAATATTACATTAAAGCCCTCGCATTGAAGTACCTCCATAAATCTATTGTTGAACAAGAATGTTATGTAAGTTTCTTGTAACTTCATAATCGATTGCAAAAAGTTTCCTCAAAACAATCTGGAAATAATTTCTTGCGTTGTTCGGCAATATGTTACAAAACGAGCATATACGGAGTGCAAGTTCATTTTATTAAATTAATTTCACTGAATAGGAACAAAAACGTTTATAGGAATAACTTAATAACTTAATAAGACCTTCCAAAAAAATTCTTTAAAAAATCCACGCCTCCTTATAGACCTTCCAAAAAAATTCTTTAAAAAATCCACGCCTCCTTATAGACCTTCCAAAAAAATTCTTTAAAAAATCCACGCCTCCTTATAGACCTTCCAAAAAAATTCTTTAAAAAATCCACGCCTCCTTATAGTCCTTCCAAAAAAATTCTTTAAAAAATCCACGCCTCCTTATAGTCCTTCCAAAAAAAATCTTTTAAAAATCCACGCCTCCTTATAGTCCTCCCAAAAAAAATTCTTTAAAAAATCCACGCCTCCTTATAGTCCTTCCAAAAAAATTCTTTAAAAAATCCACCCCTCCTTATAGTCCTTCCAAAAAAATTCTTTAAAAAATCCACGCCTCCTTATAGTCCTTCCAAAAAAATTCTTTAAAAAATCCACGTCTTGTCAGGACCCCAAAAAATTCTTTAAAAAATCTACGCCTTACATAGGCCTCCCAAAAAAATTCTTTAAAAAATCCACGCCTCCTTATAGTCCTTCCAAAAAAATTCTTTAAAAAATCCACGCCTCCTTATAGTCCTTCCAAAAAAAATTCTTTAAAAAATCCACGCCTCCTTATAGTCCTTCCAAAAAAATTCTTTAAAAAATCCACGCCCCCTTATAGTCCTTCCAAAAAAAATTCTTAAAAAAACATTCACGCCTCCTTAAAGAAAAACCCACGCCTCCTTATAGTCTTTCCAAAAAAATTCTTTAAAAAATCCACGCCTCCTTATAGTCCTTCCAAAAAATTTTTAAAAAAATCCACGCCTCCTTATACTCCTTCCAAAAAAAATTCTTTAAAAAATCCACGCCTCCTTATAGTCCTTCCAAAAAATTTTTAAAAAAATCCACGCCTCCTTATACTCCTTCCAAAAAAAATTCTTTAAAAAATCCACGCCTCCTTATAGTCCTTCCAAAAAAAAATTCTTTAAAAAATCCACGCCTCCTTATAGTCCTTCCAAAAAATTTTTAAAAAAATCCACGCCTCCTTATAGTCCTTCCAAAAAAAATTCTTAAAAAAATTCACGCCTCCTTATAGTCCTTCCAAAAAAATTCTTAAAAAAACATTCACGCCTCCTTAAAAAAAATCCACGCCTCCCTCTAGTCTTTCCAAAAAAATTCTTTAAAAAATCCAAGCCTCCTTATAGTCCTTCCAAAAAATTTTTAAAAAAATCCACGCCTCCTTATAGTCCTTCCAAAAAATTCTTTAAAAACTCCATGCCTCCTTATAGTCCTTCCAAAAAATTCTTTAAAAAATCCACGCCTCCTTATAGTCCTTCCAAAAAATTCTTTAAAAAATCCACGCCTCCTTATAGTCCTTCCAAAAAATTCTTTAAAAAATCCACGGCTCCTTATAGTCCTTCCAAAAAATTCTTTAAAAAATCCACGCCTCCTTATAGTCCTTCCAAAAAATTCTTTAAAAAATCCACGCCTCCTTATAGTCCTTCCAAAAAATTCTTTAAAAAATCCACGCCTCCTTATAGTCCTTCCAAAAAATTCTTTAAAAACTCCACGCCTCCTTATAGTCCTTCCAAAAAATTCTTTAAAAAATCCACGCCGCCTTATAGTCCTTCCAAAAAATTCTTTAAAAAATCCACGGCTCCTTATAGTCCTTCCAAAAAATTCTTTAAAAAATCCACGCCTCCTTATAGTCCTTCCAAAAAATTCTTTAAAAAATCCACGCCTCCTTATAGTCCTTCCAAAAAATTCTTTAAAAAATCCACGCCTCCTTATTGTCCTTCCAAAAAAAATTATTTAAAAAAACCACGCCTCTTTATAGTCCATCCAAAAAAAACCTTAAAAAAACCACGCCTCTTTATAGTCCATCCAAAAAAAATTATTTAAAAAATCCACGCCTCCTTATAGTCCTTCCAAAAAATCTTTAAAAAATCCACGCCTCCTATAGTACTTCCCAAAAAATTCACGCCTCCTTATAGTCCTTCCAAAAAATTCTTTAAAAATCCACGTCCAATTCTATTCCTTAAAAAAAAGAAAAATTCTTTAAAAATCCACGTCCAATTCTATTCCTTCAAAAAAAAAAAAAGAAAAATTCTTTAAAAATCCACGTCCAATTCTATTCCTCCAAAAAAAAAAAGAAAAATTCTTTAAAAATCCACATCTCCTTATAGTCTTTCCAAAAAAAAAATCTGTAGAAAATCTACGTCTCCTTATAGTATTTCCAAAAAAAATCTTTAGGAAATCACCGCCTCCTTATAGTCTTTCCAAAAAAAAAATCTTTAGAAAATCTACGCCTCCTTATAGTCCTTGAAAAAATTCTTTTAAAAATGCACGCCTCCTTATAGTTCCTAGAAAAAATTCTTTAAAAAATCCACGCCTCCTTATAGTCCCTGAAAAAAAAAATTATTTTAAAAATCCATACCTCCTTATAGTCCATGAAAAAAATCTTTTAAAAATTCACGCCTCTGAACAATCCTTGAAAATGTTTGTGTAAAAAGTCAACGTCATTGAAAAATATCAGAAAATTTCTCTGTTACATAAAATCCTTTAACATTCCAATTGTATCTATCATTTCAGTCAACTTCATTTAATTCAATTGCCATCACTTCTGAAGAAGACTAGACAAAACTACAATTAGACGTCAACAACACACACATCCAACAACAGCAGGAGCATAAGTGTTTGCATCATGTATACCATCCCGTCTTTTTTTTGCATTGGCATTTAGCCAAATATCCAACATAAGGACATACCACATCGGCATACCTACTTCCGTTTCCATTGCAACAATTTCAGTAATATTGCGGCATGAAGGCAAACAATCAAATCCCATTTGGATCCAAGAAGAATGTAATATATTCGGTGTTTGTTCTCAACATGATATGGGAGTTGAGATGAAGAACAAACATTTGACATCGAGGCAAATTAAATTCATCTGCAATGTCGAACAAACATGGAATAGATTCCAATATTTTGAAAACTAAAATTGTTCAAAAAGAACATATTGATTTAATCATATTCTCATTTAATCATATTGTTATTATCATTTAGTCATATTATTATTATTGAATCACATTATTATTGTCAGCAAATAACTGACCTAAACTTAATTATTGTTTTTAATCACATTATTATTGTCAGCAAATAACTGACCTAAACCTATTTATTGTTTTGTGTATGCAGGCCAGTAACCCAAATAAAGAAACAACTCGAATGGTTTCACAACTGCATGGGTTACGGGCTGAAGAATAATGCTGATTATACATATTTAGTTAATTTTAGAGTAATTCAAAAATTGTATAAATATTCAATACAAAATAAAGATTCTTTGTAGATTACAAGAAATTGTAAACCTACAAAGATTACGTGATTTAAGTGTCTCGTACATCAATATTAATAACAAATTTAATCATTTTTTGGTGACCCCGACGTGATTCCAACAGGAAGTTTTGGATACATCAACAAACAACAATGGCAAATGTCCAAGAGCTTATTTCTCAGCAGGAAGAAAGAGCCAGTAATTTTGAAAAATTCGTCTCTACTATAAAGAAGGCCCCTCTTGAAAGAAGAACGGAAGAGTTCTACAAGGGCAAACTTGATGAACTAAGGCTGTTATGGCAGAGTTTCGAGAAGGCAGAAAACAGAATTCGCGATGATCCATCATTGTCGGAGGATGATCCGTATATTGCTCGGAATCTATATAGAACGATTGGAGAAAAGTTCAGCTCAACAATGGAATATATAGACGCGGAAATGAAGAAACTGATGTCTGCCAAAAGTAAGCCAGTTCCCACCTTGAGAGAGAAATCGACTGAAGTTGTTGCAGGAGACAAAATACCTACCCGTGTTGATGGACTTGCCAGAATGATAAATGCTCGAATGATTGCCCTTAGTCGTCACTTACAAGGCTTGGGCACAATCGAAGCAGAACAGCCGAAGCAATTTTATAGCATCAAAGAAGATACTATAAAGAAGCTATGGAATCAAATAACGGAGCTCTACGATGAAATATTGCAGCAGATTGAAGATCCATCGAAAATTGGATTGAGTCAAGAAAACTACGATCTGCTGGAAGATTCGGTACAAGACAACTTAATAAAACTAGCAGTCTTGAAAGACAAATGCAGCGAAACCGTGACCATTGCACCTCAACTGGGGAGTGACATTATAGCACACAGTTCACTCCCACTACCAAAGGTAACAATTCCTCAATTCAATGGGGATTGTTTGAAGTGGCGTCAGTTCTATGAACTTTTCTTGGAGATGGTAGACAAACAGTCTCTTCCAAGTGTTCAAAAAATGTGGTATCTCAAAACCAATTTATCTGGCGAGGCTAGCAAACTAATCAGCCATCTATCCTTGACAGAGGATAATTACAAAACGGCATGGATGTTGCTGCAAGAACGTTATAACAATAAACGGGTTCTCGTTTCCACTCTGGTAGAACGGATTCTGAGTCAACCAAATGGAACCTCATCAACGGCTTCCATCAAGGCTCTGCATGACACTACAAAGGAATGCATGCTAGCCCTCAACAATCTTCAAATCGACACTACGTCTTGGGATGCTCTATTGATTCAATTGATCACAAAGAAATTGGATCACGCGCTGTACATACGATTCATGCAATCACTGACGAATCCGAAGGAAGTTCCTACTATGAAGGAGCTTTTTGCATTTTTGGAACTACAATTTGAGTCAATGGAATCGATTGGAAAAGCGGCATCTACTCACAAGGGTTCAATCAAAACTGTTTCGTCCGTAATATCAGTGGAGGATCACAGGAGTTGTAAACTATGCAAGAACGACTCCCATCCAATTTATCATTGTAAGAAGTTCTTGGCGATGACAGAAGGTGAGCGATTGAAATGGATACAGCAACAAAAATTGTGTGTAAATTGTTTCAAATCGGACCATGTAGCAAAAACTTGTTTTTCTGGCAACTGCAAAATATGTAGTAATAAGCACAATACATTGCTACATTTGCCAAAAAAGTCTCAACCATCACCGAAGGTTTCAAATCAAACACCACCAACAAAAAGCAATACCCTGTTACATTTCACCACGAAAGATGCAACAGGGGGCAGTACATCAGTGCTGTCACCTCAACAGCCACAGACAGTGGCGTCGGCAAACAGGAGCCAGTCCTATGTCCTTCTAGCAACCGCGAGGGTTTCCATCAAGGCTAATAACGGAAGGTCTTGCGAGTTCAAAGCTATTTTGGATTCCGGCTCACAGATTAACATCGTATCAGAGCGATTAGTGCAGAGGTTGGGCATTGAGCCCATAGAAGCGTCTCTCTGCATCGAAGGTGTTGGAGGAAGAGCAAAAAAGTCTAATCAAAGAGTGAACGTGGAGCTTCAGTCGCTAACAAGCAGTTTTCGGACGCGGCTGGAAGCGTTTGTGTTACCAAACATAGTTCCACCACAACCAAGCACAGACATCGACGTGTCATCATGGCCTATACCGGAAAATATAAAATTAGCAGATCCATACTTTTACAATACAAGCAAGATAGACTTGTTGGCGCAGAATTTTACTTCAATCTGATTTTGTCACAAGAGATTCGTATGTCCAAAGAGCTACCGTATTGCTAACTCAAGTACTGCCTTCAAAGAAACTTTACCTTCCTTCTTTTTTGCATGTAATCAAAAATCAATGTGTGTATGTCGCGTAAATCATCGCGCTTTTGAAGAAAATTTAAAAAGGTTTTCTCAAACTTTGTGAAGCCGTTGAATGTGAAATTCCACTGAAAAAACTTTAGTGAAGATTGTTGACTGAGAATTCCGTTGTCTACCTTGATAATTGAGGTTCCAAAAATGCAAAGAATCTTTCTACCAAGTGGAAAACTTTTGCCTTCAAAATGGATTTACCGTTTATTGTTATAACGTTCTTGCGCAATGCATCCATGCCGTTTTGTAATTATCCTCTGTCAAGGATAGATGGCTGATTAGTTTGGCAGCCTCGCCAGATAAATTGGTTTTGAGATACCACATTTTTTGAACACTTGGAAGAGACTGTTTGTCTACCATCTCCAAGAAAAGTTCATAGAACTGACGCCACTTCAAACAATCCCCATTGAATTGAGGAATTGTTACCTTTGGTAGTGGGAGTGAACTGTGTGCTATAATGTCACTCCCCAGTTGAGGTGCAATGGTCACGGTTTCGCTGCATTTGTCTTTCAAGACTGCCAGTTTTATTAAGTTGTCTTGTACCGAATCTTCCAGCATATCGTAGTTTTTGGTTGACTCAATCCAATTTTCAATGGAATCAATGATGTAATATTTCATCGTAGAGCTCCGTTATTTATTCCATAGCTTCTTTATAGTAACTTCTTTGATGCTATAAAATTGCTTCCTGTTCCGCTTCGATTGTGCCCAAGCCTTGCAAGTGACGACTAAGGGCAATGAAAAAACTTTTTGGTGCCTGTAATCAAAGAATCAATGTTGTAATTCTTTTTAGTACGTCTGCGTAATGCTATATGCGCTTTTAGTTTGGCAGAACATCCCGTTTCTTCAGTCAACTACAATGTCAAAGAAAATCTCAAATTTTGCCTTCAAAATGTGAAATTTACCTACATACTGAAAAAAACTTTTTGGTGCATGTAATCAAAGAATCAATGTTGTAATTCTTATTAGTACGTCTGCGTAATGCCATATGCGCTTTTAGATTGGTTGTAACTCTACCCGTTTTCTCAAAATCAACTACCATGTCAAAGTAAGAAATTCTCAAATTTTGCCTTCAAAATGTAACCTTTACCTCCATACTGAAAAAAACTTTTTGGTGCATGTAATCAAAGAATCAATGTTGTAATTCTTATTAGTACGTCTGCGTAATGCTATATGCGCTTTTAGTTTGGTTGTAACTCAACCCGTTTTCTCAAAATCAACTACCATGTCAAAGTATGAAAATAAGTTACAGGCAATTTCCTTGTTCCAAAGCTCAAAAAAGGGGGTTCCTGAAATTTTTGTTGTTTGTCGAGGTCACCAAAACTTCCTGTTGGAATCACGTCGGGGTCACCAAAAAATGATTAAATTTGTTATTAATATTGATGTACGAGACACTTAAATCACGTAATCTTTGTAGGTTTACAATTTCTTGTAATCTACAAAGAATCTTTATTTTGTATTGAATATTTATACAATTTTTGAATTACTCTAAAATTAACTAAATATGTATAATCAGCATTATTCTTCAGCCCGTAACCCATGCAGTTGTGAAACCATTCGAGTTGTTTCTTTATTTGGGTTACTGGCCTGCATACACAAAACAATAAATAAGTTTAGGTCAGTTATTTGCTGACAATAATAATGTGATTAAAAACAATAATTAAGTCTAGGTCAGTTATTTGCTGACAATAATAATGTGATTCAATAATAATAATATGACTAAATG